GAAAGTGGCGACAGCTTCGCAGATCGCAGCCCCCCAAGGACGGCGAGGTCTACCTCAGGTCTGCGCGGTGCCTCACCCCGCTGGACCCACCAGCAGCCCCCGAAAGTGGCAACAGATTCGCAGATCGCAACCCCCCAGGGACGGCGAGGTCTACCTCAGGTCTGCGCGGTGCCTCACTCCGCTGGACCCTCCAGCAGCCCTCGAAAGTGGCGACAAATTCGCAGATCGCAGCCCCCTAGGGACGGCGAGGTCTACCTCAAGTCTGCGCGGTGCTTCAACCCGCTGGACCAACCGGCAGCCCCCGAAAGTGGCGACAAGTTCGCAGATCGCAGCCCCCCAGAGACGGCGAGGTTTACCTCAGGTCCGCGCGGGTGCCTCACTCCGCTGGACCCACCAGCAGCCCTCGAAAGCGACGACAGCTTTGCAGATCGCAGCCCCCCAGGACGGCGAAGGTATACATCAGGCCCGCGCGGTGCCTTACTCCGCTGGACCCACCAGCAGCCCTCGAAAGTGGCGACAGCTTCGCAGATCGCAGCCCCCCAAGGACGGCGAGGTTTACCTCAGGTCCGCGCGGTGCCTCACTCAGCTGGACCCACCAGCAGCCCTCGAAAGCGGCGACAAGTTCGCAGATCGCAGCCCCCCAGGGACGGCGAGGTCTACATCAGGCCCGCGCGGTGCCTTACTCCGCTGGACCCACCAGCAGCCCTCGAAAGTGGCGACAGCTTCGCAGATCGCAGCCCCCCAGGGACGGCGAGGTCTACCTCAAGTCTGCGCGGTGCTTCACCCCGCTGGACCAACCGGCAGCCCCCGAAAGTGGCGACAAACTCGCAGATCGCAGCCCCCCAGGGACGGCGAGGTCTACCTCAGGTCCGCGCGGTGCCTCACTCCGCTGGACCCACCAGCAGCCCTCGAAAGTGGCGACAGATTCGCAGATCGCAACCCCCCAAGGGACGGCGAGGTCCACCTCAGGTCCGCGCGGTGCCTCACTCCGCTGGACCAACCAGCAGCCCCCCAGCAACGGCGAAGAGAGGGCAGGAGGCGGGAGGAAGGCAGGAAGGACGCGCGAGAGGTGCTCTATTCAAACCGAATACCCAACCAAGGAGGGTTGGGGAAAAAAACGCGATGACGCGGAAGTAGAGGAAGATTGGTACGCAATCATTGTAAGTGCTATCCAGATGGCCTGCCCGCGAAATGAATGGTTTAAAAATAAGTACGATGAGTTTGCAGAAAGCGCAGAAGCACACAAGGCTGTCAGAGCGTGGCCAACGCGAAGCAAGCAGAACTGAACGCTGCAGGTGCTGACCTGGATCATGCGAAGCTCATGTAGGATCGACACACAGCAGCCCTGGAGTAGATCAAGAATTCTCATGAATGAGTACGCCGAACCAGTTCCGCCACCTGAGGAGCCGCCGCCCTTGCCAAACGGAGAGGTGGTGCCTGCACCTGGCACACCTGAAGCACATTCGGCAGGTAATTTTAACCCAGCAGGCATGGTTGACCTTTCCACGTTGCAGGCTCAGTTTGTAATTCTGCAGAAGCAGCACGCCGAGGGACGGAGGCTGATGGTGGAGACCAATCGCCTGCTGGACCAGAGGCTCACTTCGGTAGTCAAGCATTTGGAAGTGAAAGTAGGCTTGGCATCGAACAAGACGCAGAAGTCAGCTGATCGAGACGCCGAAGCAGGCTTTCATGAGGATCAGCCCAGACTCACACAGCTTGCCCTTACAGTAGTAAATCAAGCCATCGCCCATCGCAGGCAAATCAGCATCAAGAGCTGCAACATCTACCAGCTTTTCCTCTGGCAATCAGGGACATTCATCCATTCCTCCGCTAGAAGGTGGCAGCATTAGCCCTGGCCACCCCAGTACCAGGACAGGACTCCGCGACGGCGGGCAGCGGTTGTCCGATCGTCAGCTGGTAGATCGCACGAGATCCGGATCCTACCCCACCTACCCCCTCTAAGGTTCCTCCCCCTACTCAACAGTCTAAGGTGACTACTCAGTGTCACTGTGTTCCCCTTCCAGATCTCGCTAAAAGTTTTCAGAAGCCATGGGGCAAGACAGTCTCGCATTGCAGCTCGCATCTACAGCCTTCTTGGACGCAGGAGGCAGCAGAATGCCTGACTAAGATCACCGAGGTTGACGATTTTGAGCAGGCGGATTTTTCGACACTGCACATCTACACATAAGGCACTGGGGGTCAGGGCAACAAGTCTCCGCCAGCATGGGCAGTTGTGCTGGTTAGAAAAATGATTGATCGCTCACTCTCGCTCAGAAGTTTCTGTCGGAAGCAGTCTCAGAGGAGGTGCGGACCATGCTTCCTAAGGACAAGGCTGTCTTCTACATCGAGTCCGTTGCTTTGTCGTGGGCCACACTATGGGCCATTCGGGTCTCCGTACCTAATATCGTTTTGGGGGGCAGACTCGACAGCTGCGTTGCGTGCTCCACACACTCTTCTGCATCCCAATATTCATGTCCTTGGTTGTGCACGATTATTGCGAGCATTGTCGCTGTTGCTTGCACATTCGGGCATGGCTCGCAGCATACAGCACGAGCATGTCCCAGCACATCAAGGCCACCCCATTGAATGAGACGGCAGATACATTTGCAGCATTAGTAGTTCTGGGCATGGCTACTAGGATTTGCAGTACAGCAGGAGTCGTTGTTTCAGTGGGCATGGATGGAAGTCCTGAATCCCGCCTCTCGTTCCCAGTTCCCTCCACTACGCCAACATGAGCTTGTCATTAGGTCTTCCCCTACCCCTCTCCTCCCATGTCAGCGGCAGCAGGCATCATTTTTCAGCATCAGCCCTCATTGTAGTTAAGGCAGCATTCCTTAACGTTCTCACCCTGAGGCCGAGATCTTCCGAGGCCACAGGACTGTGGGCAGGGCGGCGCATGCGAGGCCGCACGAGTATGTTGGTCGACCAGTTTTCACGAGTTGGCTACCAGATCATCGGATTGGCAGGGACGAGGATGAGAACGAAGTCACAAACCAGTGTGGGCCAGTACTCCGTCGTACATTCACCAGGCACCTCTATGCGTACCCACGGGGGCTCGCTTTGAATACAGACCAAATGTGCCCGCTCCTTTCAAGAGCAGTTCGCAAATGTGAAGCAGGTAGCAGTCACGCTAGCCTCGCCGACTAGGATGTTTGCGACCATCCAGACTCAGAGCCACAGGTTCTGCTGTTTTATTTTTGCACGCTCCTCAAAATCGAAGGCCACCAGCAGAGATGTCCAAATGGTGGGAGGATAGACAGGATGTAAGCCAAGCATTCGCAAACAAATGCTTTCCTATTCGTGCTCTGTGACGCCAACGCGACAGTCGGTTCCAGGATGTCGAAAAGCATAGGACCGGTGGGAGCTGAAAAGAGAATCCAAATGGTTGAAAGTTCCATGCGTTCCTCACCAGGGCCGACCTTGGCATCCCTGCCACTTTTGCCAAGGAGCACTGCATCCAGGCCATCTGGACGGCACCAGGTGCAACCAAGCCAACTCAACGGTTGGAATATACCTGCGCACCCCAATGCTATTTGGATTCAGTAAACTGGGCATCGACGCGGCGGTCCAATGGCAGCAGGACCACGACGCTGAAAGAATCTCCCTGACGGCGCTATGCTTAGAGTCCCCCTCTTCCCTTTCCCCCAAAAGACCAAGGCTCTGCCCGCATCTGCTTAGGAACCCACAGGTGCAGGACATTGCCCACAGGAAGCTCAACCAGGACTTCCCTCGTCCCTCCTGGGCTCTAAAAACATTGCCAGATTGTGAATGACCACGTTGTGAAGGCCATTCAAAATAAAATATGGTAGCCTCGCCCTCGCCCTATCAGGTTTAGGCTTCTAAGGTGGCCAAGGACCACTACCGTGGAAAGTCCACGATACGGCGAAGGATGACCAGCATACGCACGGAGATGGGCAGACGTAGGAGGTACATGTACATGATGGCTTGGCAACGAGTGGCACAGCAGTTCAGACGAACGAGCAGCTACTTGCACACGGACGGGCATCCGTCTCCGCTTCGCACGCTCACAGCGTGCACGACTTGCAAAAGGCAGCGCATGAGTCAGCAGACTTTCGATCGAATGTGTATGAGGCAACATTGCATCCGAGCAGGTATCCTTTGTGCCTAATGGCTACGTTTGTGAAGTTGTTCGAGACTGGAAGGCTCCGCGCAGGCAGGCCAGGGGAGGAGCTATGGATCTGGGAAGCCCTCATTGTTTTGCAAGAACGATTCGCATCCCTGTTTCGCCACAGGTTGCATCCCTATGCGACGCGAAACCAAGAACTCCCAACACCGCCCCCCAAAACGGTCTCTAAGTCACTCGTCACGCGGAGCGTTCAGGAACAAGAGCCTGGGCTGTCCTCAGCTACTCCTGTCCGCTCCAGCTCCCCGAGCGCGCCATATACGTAAGCGGAGCAAGAACTCGTGTGGGCGGTGGCTCGAAGACGCCCTGGGGACCCGGGGCCCAAGGACAGCCTCTGAACCTTGCAGGCTCCCCGCCCCGCCCAAAAAACAGCACCGCCGCAGTACGATCTCTCTCGCGACGACGAGAAGTCTGGCTCGGCCCATCCGGTGTCACTCGGAGTCCATCCCCAGACCCCACCCAAACGCCGTCTGTGATTGCGTGATACCCGACCCCTACCAAAAAAAAGCATGACTCCCCACGTTGGCCGTAAATTGACAACTCTCGGTCGCTATCTGGTTAATGATGAGACACGTCTACAGTCTACATCGCAGAGCGGGAGGGGCTGGGAAGGGGCATGCCACTTCTTGACAAAAGCCCTGCCCCGAGTTGTTGCCGACGCGATCGCCGCGGCGACCTCAAAAACCAACCAGGAGGATCGATTCGGGGTCGGATATTACGCAACGAATCCTAACCAAATTTTCGAGCTGCGTGCAGCCGTGGCCACGAAAATCCCGAGGGGAGGCCCGAAAATACTGGAACGTCAAAAGCATCCCTCGAAGTCCTCCTCCCTCTCCTCCCTCTCCTCGAGGTTGGCATCTTGCTGGCAGCCCCCTCCAGGTGGCACCTCCTCCGTCAGCCTCAGCGCCTCCGAGGCAAAGCGCAGGACCTCCCCGGTCACGCCGCGCCACACTCCCGCCCTCCTGGAGGAGAACGAGGCGACGGCGATGACGGAGGATAGAGGATAGAGGAATGAGGAGGGAGAGGGGGGAGGAAAGACGGAAGATGAAAGAGGAGGAGGAGAACAAGGAGGAGGAGGAGGAGGAGGACGAGGAGGAGGAGGAGGGCACGTAGCTTGAATCCTCGGTGGTTCAGCTACCGCCCGGGCCCTAGCATGGCTCGACCACGAGGGCTGGAGCTCGGACTCCGTGGTGGCAGGCGGGCGCGGTCGCGCGGGGCTTCCCCGCGGCTTTCACACTTCATGGGCAAATGCGGAAGCTCACCACTAGGAGCTGATGGCAGCGTTGACGGGGAGACTCTGAATCATGATTCGGTACTGGGCCAAACCCAAGACGCGTGAGAGGACAGGCATGGGGGAGGGGGAGGGGGAGGGGAAGGAGGAAAGGAGGATGAGGAGGAGGAGGAGGAGGAGGAGGAGGAGGGGGAGGAGGAGGAGGAGGACAGGAGGAGGAGGAGGAGGAGGAGGAGGAGGAGGAGGAGGAGGAGGAGGAGGGAGAGGAGAGGGAGGAGGGGGAGAGGGAGAGGGAGGAGGAGGGGAGGAGGAGGTGAGGAGGAGGAGGCGGAGGAGGAGGAGGAGGAGGAGGAGGAGGAGGAGGAGGAGGAGGGAGGAGGGGGAGGAGGAGGAGGAGAGGGAGGAGACCGTAGCATTTTGGCTCAAGCCATTTTAGCTCAAGGGGTATTTGTCGAGCGAGCTGGGCAGGTCATCGCTTTGTGCCCCCCCGTGGCAGCAGTGGCAATTTCGATACCATGCCTTCCTTTCTTGTTCCCTGCCAATTCATGGCCACCTGGGCTTGCCAGAGATGCTACAGCACGGTCAAATCTTAGCATCAATTCTGCCTGCGTATGTACCCAGTGGCGAAGAGGGCCCCAAGACGCTCACGCTCACAGTCAACACCGAAAAGCCATGTAGAACACGCAAAGCCTTGTGGACATGAACAAATCAATAGTGCAGAAAGTCCTGGCAAAGATTCCAATGGCCTCTCCAACGGGAGAGAAGCAGCATCCAGAGTGGCTGTCGCCGCCGAGCTCCGACGACCCATCGAGGTTGGGAAGTTCAGGAAAGAGGCCTTTCAAAAGATCAACAGCTTGACAATGGTTGCGTATACTGCGGGTCAGACAGGTACGGAACACGAAGAGGTGAGAACGAAGATTGCCATGTTGGTCTATGCAGTTTCGTTGCCCGAGCCGCTTCACGTCCAGCTTCAGCTTGCGACGAAAAAGGAACTCTCCTTGGAAGAAAGATTGACCGCAGCCAGTAAAAAAGATAGAAAAAGTTGCTCAGCAGCAGTACGACATCGAAACAGAGATCGGCACGATGGACGAACACGTCGAGTTTACTCAAGAGGGTCTAGAGGAAGAGCGCAGCACGATGAAGGACGCTCAGATGCAGGCCAGACAAGATCGCCAGAGTCCCTTCGTGTCCCCTGCAGCGGCTCCAGGCGCAGCATCCACGGCACCAGCGGCATTGGGGGCGCGCCGAGGGGGCAAGCGAGAAGGGGGTAGGCCTCCTCAGCGGGGTTTCTCGGCAACCCTCTGGCCTTCTGAGAAGCCTCCTGCGGCTTCGAGGAAGGCTCAGAAAGCTCCTCAAAAGGCCAGAGGCATTCTGAGCCTTCTGAAAACTTGCCATCGCTCGGACGTCCATTCCCCGTGCATTTTTCGGTGTTGTACGTGTTTTTGTTGGCTCGATGGTCCAAGATGCTCCTCGATTGTCCTCGCCGGGCCAAAAGACACACGGCCGAGCGATGCCGAGAGAAAGCCCGCCCCTTCTGCCTTCCCCCCTGGGCGCGCCGCCCCGAGGCATCCGACGTCTTAACTTTTTCAAGACGGGGTCCCCGGGAGTCCCGACCCTTTCCCTGAGGCTGGTTTTTCGTCCCGAGCTGTCTTCGACGGCCTCGGGGCCCGACAAGGGCCCTCGGATGCAGAAAAGTGCCACAAACCGTGGGTCGAGACTCTATCACGGCGCGAGGATGCCAGGTTTTCGGGTCATGACTCGAGTCTCCAGCGGCCGTTCGGGACGATCCGGGCACCCCCCGAAAGCCCTCGGCGAGGCGCAGCTGCTGGAACGCCTCCCGAAGCTGGAAAACCGCCGAGAGCCAACGAAAACGCACGAAAAAAGCAGGCCGAAGACAACCTAGACTTTCCGACGCGAGCACGCCTGGACCGACCAGAGCCCAAGCGACGACCGAAACTGCTCGACGCGAGCCCGTCGGGACCGGCCGGGGCCCAAGAGGCGCGCCCTCTGCCTGCCCCCCGGTGCGCCCGCGGCCGCCCCAACCTCGCCGTCGTTGCCCACCGCCGCCGCCACCACCTCGCGGCGCGCGGGGAGGGGCGCGGAGCTCAGGGCTCGAGCGGAAGTGACTAGCCAGCCTCGAACTTATCCCTATCCTTAAGATGGGCGAGCAAAAAGCGAGGACAATCTTAGGGATAGGCCCTCAGAAACTGAGGGAATCCTTGAGATCGGCATCGAGGTGAGGTGATGTCAAACATAGGGATAGGGATATGTTTCAAACTGGTAAGTGACGGGATCAACGCTGGTTGCGGGCGGTTCCAGTTCGCTGTACTGCGGCAGGCTGGCCACGGGTTGGTCCACAAGACGCTCGCTGCCCGAATGGGAAACCCCCGTCGCGCAGGAGGACCCAAATCTCACGCGACATGATCGTCGTCGTCGCCGTCGTCCTGCTCATCGTCGTCGTCGTCGTCGTCGTCATCATCATCATCATCATCATCATCATCATCATCATCATCATCATCATCATCATCATCATCATCATCATCATCATCATCATCAGTAGCAGCAGCAGCAGCAGCATCAGAATCAGCATCAGCATCAGCAGCATCATCAGCAGCAGCAGCATCAACAACAAGGTCAAGGCGGCCATGAGGAACGCGTCCCGTCGGCGCGCTGTAACAGCCTCGTTCCTAGTACCCAAGGCGGATCGCAAGGACGCGTGGCTAGCAATCCCCCCCAGCCCCAGCAACCGAGCAACCACCCAACGAAAACAAAACAAAACAAAAAACAAAAAAAAAAATCCTTGCGTTCCCCCGACGAAACCCCAAGCGGATTCCAATATTTGCTCCAGCGACGCTCCGGAACGGGGCGCCTATAGGATCCCGATGGAGACCCCTCAGAGCCCATAGGATCCCTATAGGGCCCCCGTGGAAACCCTGCAAAGCCGTTTGGATCCCTACAGGGCCCATATAGAACCCTGCAGGACCTATAGGATCCCTGTAGGGTCCCTTTAGGATGCCGATAGGATTCCTGAGATACCCTCGTTCCTAAAGGGATCCCATGAGGATCTCCCTATAGGGTCCCTTTAGGAACCCTATAGAGACCCTATAAAGAGCCTTACAGGGTCCTTTCAGGAACCCCATAGACACCTTATAGAGATCCCTATAAGATCCCTGTAGAGACCCTATAAAGATTCTGCAGGGCCTAGAAGGTCCGTGTGGGGTCCCCATGGAAACCCTGCATGGCCTGTAAGGCCCCAATATGATCCCTATGGGGTTGGATCCGACACGGATCCCATACGGCCTGTATGGGATCCCACAAAGACCCCATACGGCCTGTATGGGATCCGCTAGAGATCCCATACGGCCGATATAGGATCCCACACAAAAACTAAACTGCCTATAGGGGATCCCACACAGATCCAATACAGCCTATACGGCATGTATGAGATCCCCACACAGATCCCATACAGCCTGTATGGGACCCGCTATAATTCGCATACGGCCTGTATGGGATCCGATACAGGACCCGTGCGCCTTGTTCGGGATCTCACATAGATTCCATACGGCCAGTAGGAGATCCCGCACATACCCCATACGGCCTGTATGGAAACAGATACAGAACCCATGCACCATGTATGGGATCCTACACAGATCCCATACGGCCTGTATGGAATCCGCTAGAGATCACATACGGCCTGTCTGGGACCCAATACAGATCCCGTACAGCCTATATGGGATCAGATACAAACCCCATACAGCCTGCATGGGACCCGATACAGGTCCCACACGGCCTGTATAGGATCCCACGCAGATCCCAGACAGCCTGTATGGGACCCGATACAGTTCGCATACGGCCTGTATGGGAGCCCACACAAATCCCATACGGCCTGCATGGGATCCTATACAGATCCTATGCGGCCTGTCTGGGACCCGATACAAGTCCCATACGGCCTGCATGGGATCCGATACAGTTCCCATACGGCCTGTACTGGATCCCACACAGACCCCATACGGCCTTTATGGGCTCCGGTTGGGCCCCATATAGGGTAGGGCACAGCTCTGGTAGGACCCCATATAGAGATGGGGCACTGCTCTGGTAGGACCCGTATAAAGTCCTAAAGGGTTTGGCACAGCTGTGGTAGGATCCCTGTAGGGTTATGGTAGGGCTGGGTTCGGCTCCGCTTGGATTCACGCTGTGTTGGAGCACTCCCCCCTGGACGGGGCGTAGCCCACTCCCAGAGGGGGTGCCGAAGGCCGTTCGGGAGGGGGGGGTGCTGAGTTGCTGGTTGCTGGGGGGGGCGGCCTTCAAACCCGCCTTCTTCAACAACAAAAACAAAAACAATGACAACAAAAACAACAACAACAACAACAACAACAACAACAACAACAACAACAACAACAACAACAACAACAACAACAACAGCAACAACAACAGCAACAATAACAACAACGACAACGACAACGACAACGACAACGACAACGACAACAACAACGACAACAACAACAACAACACCAGCAACCACAACAACAAAAATAAACACAACAACAACAATAACAATAACAAGAACCACAAAAACAGCATCATCATCAGGAGCATCATCATCAGCATCAGCATCAGCATCGGCGTCATACTCGGCATCATCATTAACATCGTAATCATCATCATCATCATCATCATCATCATCATCTGCAGCAGCATCATGAGCGTCGTCCGTATCATCAACATCATCATCAGCGGCAGCTTCAGCCTCATCACCAACACGATAATCATGAGCACTACCATTATAATAATCATCGTCGCCATCATTGTGACGATGAATCATCATCATCATCAGCAGCAGCAGCATCGTCAGCGTTGTTGTCAACATCATCGTCATCGTTATCATCATCACCATCACCATCACCATCACCATCATGCTCATCCTCGTCCTCAAACTCATCATCATCATCATCATCATCATCATCATCATCATCATCATTAGCATCATCATCACCACAATCATCATCATAAGTATGACCATCATCATCAGTATCACCATCCTCATCATCAGCAGCAGCCGTACCATCATCATCATGATCAGCATCATCATTACCTGTATTAGACTTAGCATCATCAACATCATTATCGTCAACATCATGACCATCAGCAACATCACTGGCATCACCATCATCAGCATCATTATCATCGCCATCATCATCAGTAAAATCGGCATCAGCATCATCAGCATCGTCATCGTCATCAGCATCATCAGCAGCATCATCAGCATCATCAGCAACATCGTCAGCATCATCAGCATTATCTTCATCTTCATATTCATCTTCATCAGCCTACGCTTCTTCCCCGTATACATCATCCCCCTCCCCCTACTCCTGCTCCTCATCCTCCTCCTCCTCTTCCTCCTCCCTCTGATCATCGTCATCATCA